TCAAACATAGCGGCTCCGGCATCCCATACAGCAGCTACGAATATGTGCTTAAAAACCTCCAAAGTTTGGGAGCACTTTAGCCTAGATAAGGCAAAAAAAATAACTCGCAAGGTTTGCAAAGCAGACCGATTAGTCAACTAATTGTTTCAATAGTCTGTGACTAGTCGACTAGTGACTAGTTGCAGCCCTATTCAGCAAAAAGCATGATTACTGATTTTTGTTCCTGGAGCCTGTTAGCTTCAGCCTGAGACTTCATCAATAGAGGCTCTTAAATGGGATATTACAAACTTTTCAAAGAGTTCTTACCTTAACACAAGTAAGGTGAGGATAATGTTAATAGAAACTCACAGGGTAAATGCAACCAAGGACCTGATATTAAAAATGGAAAACCACAAGTATTCCCAGACTGTGGAGCTAAAATATTTTGAGCTCCCCATATTGATAGGCAGCAGTGTTGGTCACAGACCACGAATAATAACAGATGAAATAAGAATAAGAATAACTTTATTGATCCCTGAAGGGAAATTCGATTGTCTGTCATCCTATTTGTCATGTCTAAAAAGTAATCTACTATTAAAAAAAAAAGTTGTAAAGTCTGATGGCTGTGGGTTCAAAACATCTTCTGAACCTTTCTGTCCTGCAGCGAAGAGAGAGGAGCTGTCCACCACCATTGGCCCTTTGGTCCATTAAGGTGTTATGAAGTGGGTGATCCATGTTCTTTTAAATAGCCTCCACCTTCCTCAGTGTACATCTCTTCACCACATTTTCCAGTGAGTCCAACTTGAATCCAAGCACAGAGCCAGCCTTTTTTCACCAGTTTGTTCAGATGTATACAGTTCATGAATTACCTGATGAACCACGTATCAGTGTTTCACATGAATTAATGGTATCTCATGCCTCACTTTGTGATGATGAATTATATTAACTAGCTAAGATGTGTGACTCATGACTGGTGTGTATGGACTCATGCACTATTCATGATGTTAATGAGTGCTTTTGGGCTCCACTTTATCAGTCATAGAGAAGTAATGTTGAATTAATCATGATTACAATACCTGAAATCCAACAGATCGGTCCGGTTTTTTTTGTCGTCTTTTTAACTGCACACTTACATATACAGCATTTTTGAACATCATGACAATTAGTACACAGATCATACCTTAAACTAATCCTTAACTACCTAGTATAGACCTTTTTACATTGCAGTGTGACTTTCCATGTGTATTAGTAACAGACTTTAACATATTAAGCTGATTTGTATTGAATCAGAACAGTATTTAAACAAACGGATCGATGCACATGTATAAATGAGATTAGGTGTGCTCATACTCCCCTGCATCCCTGATAAGTCCTCATTCTCCCTCCATCTCCCTTCATCCTTCTGTCCCAATATGCCTTTGTTAACTGCTGATGTATGCGGAACATTCAGACAGGAAGCTGACTTCCTTTGTCCAAATATGGACAGATGACTGTACTCATCAGAGAAATATGTTGTCAAGTCCCTCAACAGGAAATGTGCTGCCTACACCTTTAAATCACTTGAGTGTTTGCGAATACTCGTGTGTGTGTGTGTGTGTGTGTGTGTGTGTGTGTGTGTGTGTGTGTGTGTGTGTGTGTGTGTGTGTGTGTGTGTGTGTGTGTGTTTTAGAAAAAGAAAAAATCCTAGCTAGTCAGCAGCTGGCTGAAATTTATCAGTACAAAGGGCAAATGTGATAAAAAAAAAAACCCAGTTGGAACATGCTGAACCTTTTAAATATGAATCAAATGAAGTGATTTCAGCAGTTCAGTGATGCTTCAAACAGATAATCCGAGAGTACATTAAAAGTGACTCAAATCTAGAGAAATATTAGTCAGAAAAAAACAGATATTTCTTGTCTCCTCATAGGTAAGCACCTTTGCAATATTATCCTCATGTTTTGGCTCAATATCTCCACTAATTGCAATGCAGCACCTGTGTGGTATTGACTAACCTGTTAATCGCACTACCATTTTTCCCCTCTTGTTTACAGTTTAAACATCTTATCTGTAAACAAGCAAACCTGATGTTGTGGGTGGTAAGAGCCCTATGTCAAGTTTTTACTCTTAGGCAATTAGAGTGAATATTTTGTTTTGAAACAGCTCCATATGGTGCCAGTGAATAATATTGAAGGGGAAAAATTACCCTCTGCTTAGTGTTAGCAATTAGACAGAGGTAATGATTTTAACATTGTAGTTCAAATCATCAACTCAAATCCACTCAGGACCTCCGGTTTAAGAATCTGCAACTATACAATGCATACCAAGCATGGTGAAACATGAGGAGTGAGTGTAAATGGAGGAAGGATAGCATTATCTTCAGAGCTCCAGGGTACTGATATGATGGCCTACTCTTCTACCCTGTATGCCTTCTTCCATCCTGTCAGGGAGTTATCTGCCACCACCAATTGCAGATGCATCACTGACTCCACTTCACTTTCTCTGCCAATTTTCTCTTCACTCTCCCAACAGCATAAGGCTAACCACAACGGCCTGAAGGCAACCACTGTGTCCCACAGGGGTCTGCTCAGGCTCACTTTTAGATCCCACAGGCAGATTCTCACTGGGCATGTTTTAAGTAGATCCAGTATAATAGCCAAAACGCATGATAATGAAAGGCCCACGAGACTGATGCATAGCTTAAATGTTATGTTGATGTCCAACCTGAACAGTGAGAGCGTTGTCTGCATGTTCTTTGTGAGCATCAGCAGCATCTTTTAACTCTCCACTCCCACCTTGATGCATCAGGGGTGCATGACCTAGTGTTTCAGTGGCTGCAGAGATATTCTCAGGGGAGGATCCAAAATAGCCTTCAGATGTGGCCTGTAAACATGTGTTATGCTTTGCAGTGCCAGTGGCTAACCTCTAACACAATTAACACTATCATTATTATCGGGCATGTTTTGTGTGGTCTTTTCAATCAACACTATAGTTTTGATTATTGTAAGCCTTGCTTGGTGGGGATTCTGGTTATGTTGTCTATTATAAAGGTAATTTTCATACTGTATTTGGAGAGTCTTAAATCTAATTCACTTATATTTATATTATTTTAAAACATAACTGTATTTCTTTGAAACAGGGTGTTGTTAGCCTTAAAATGATCAGACTATTATCCCTAGTTTGTTTGCCTTTTATTGCAATATATTATTCATTCCTGCCACTTTGTGTAGAATCTATAAAAGATGTGAAAATTTTGTGTTTCAGTCACTCTAAAAGAGTCGTCTGTTACCATTACTCAGATTGGGAATATGTTGTCTTGTCATCAATCAGCAATTGAATTGCCCTTTGGGGATCAGTTAAGTTCTTCTTTTTTCTTATTTCTTTGAAGCTAATTTTGTCTTTGCAGTAGTCTACTTTGACTGTGTGATTGCAGGAGAAAGCTGTCCATGGTGCTGGAGATGTTGCAGTAGCTTACAGGCTTTCTAGTCTGTCGAGGTAGCCATGTGGCTCTTTTAGCAATAGAGTTATACATGTAAAACTAGAAAATTGCATTTCCTCGCAGGAAATGCTGAATGCTAAAAGCTGAAAAAGCAATGCAAAACTGCAAAAAAAAGCTATTTATGTAAAAACTGTTAGAGCTGTTAAAGGGGTAAAGAATATGAAGCAGAAGTTGTATGAATGTGAAAATTGTTAACGGATGATAGTTTGAATATGCTAAGCAAATTGAAATTGCATTCATGCCGAAAGAGCTGAAAAACTGTATGAAATTGCACAAAATTTGTATGAAGAAGGAAACCACCTTAAAAAACAGAAAGTGAGAGGTGGCATAAGTTTAAGTTGTAGTACTTCTAGTAGTATGATGATAAGTAGACATTTTAATGATAAGTAATGATATTAGTAGTCATATTAATAGTAGTAAAAGTTTAAAAATAAAAGAAGTTGAAGTCAAAGTATTAGAGCTAGTTGTAGAAATAATTGTAGCAGTAAAGAAAGTATTAATTGAAGCAACAGTGGTTGACGTAGAAGTAAAGGTACTAATAAAAGTAATATCAGTAGTAGTTGTAGTAGTAGAAGTGGGATTTTGTTGGAAGAATTGGATAATTCAAGAATAGTGAAAATGAATTAAAACGGGGAAATTTTAAATAATTTAACATCCTAATGCATTAGGAAGGTTTGACTTGAAGACTCCAAAATCAGGCAACTGGACTGTGTAGAGTTGAGAAGACGTTTCGCCTCTTATCCAAGAAGCTTCTTCAGTTCTAATTATTGCTAGTGTGAGGAGCAGATATTTATCTTACTGGAGAAGGGGACAGACAACGACTGGGAGGAGTTGGAAAGAATGGGTCGTAGAAACCCATCTCCGGCTGTTCCCCCCTGAGGGTGACTCATGCCACCTGGGTCATGTGGTCCCAGGTGTGAATGTTTGTGGAGTTTCCTGGGGAGAGAGCTGAGAACTGCATTGTAAGTGCCGGAGAGATTGTGCCTGAGTCCACCCCCTCTGTTCAGAGAAGGTTTCTCCAGCCTGGTAAAGATGGCTTCTTTAACTCCTCTTTCAAACCATCTGTCTTCTCTAGCCAACACCTTTACATTGCTGTCCTCGAAAGAGTGACCCGTGTCCTTTAAGTGAAGGTAGACAGCTGAGTCCTGACCTGAGGAAGTGGCTATCATTTGTTGAGCCATGCGCTTGTGAAGCGGTTGTTTAGTTTCCCCAATGTACAGGTCCGAGCAGGTCCTGATATGGTCAGTGAAGGCCTCTACTTCATGTGTTTTGATCTTAACCCAGGTGCCATCCACATATCTGAACCAGTGGCTGGGTGCTGCTCCTTTGAAGAAGGTTAGGGCCTTCCTCTTTACCTCTTCCATGTGGACTTCTTATGGATGGGTTGGGGACGGAGGTTTGGGTTTCCTTGAGCAGTTTGTCTCCTGTTCCCCTTGTTGAAGATTTTCCTCTCAACCTTACTCCAGTACTTCTCAGAGATTCCCGTGGCCTCTAAGGCCTCATTGAGCTCCCTAAGCTGTAGCTCCCTCTCTTGGGCCTCTTTCTTCTAGTCAGCCATCTTTAAGACCTCCTTGCGCTTCATATTGGCCAAATGCTTGCGCTCACTCATCTGATGTTGCAGAGCCTCTCTGTAATGCTTTGCTTTCAGGCACTTCCTCTCCTCTTTCTCTTTGGCGATGGCCTCGCGTTGTGCCTTTAATATCTCATCAAACTCGATCTTCTGCTGCATGATTTCCATGGCTCTTTGCTGATCTTTGAAGCGAAGCTGTTCCTCTCGGACCGCATACATCAAAGCTGTCTTCTTTGCTTTTTTTCTCAGCTAGCTCTCTCTCTTTTGTCCTCCATTCTCTGTCTTTCAGCTTCTGGACTCTGCGGGTGTATTTCTCATTCTCCTCTGCTGTCCTCTGCTGTCTTGTCTCTGGATTTCTCAGCAGTTTACCTTCTCCACTTGCTTGGCTTTTTTGATGCGCTTTTGCTCTTTGGCCTGCTCCTCCTCGTGCTTTAGTTTCTTTTCATTATATTCTCTGTCTTTAATGTCAGCCCGCTTCTTCTCCTCCTTCCTGTGCTCTTTGGCCAATATGATCTCAGTATTGACTCGATTCATCTCCTCCTGCAGTCGCCTCTGGTCCTCTTTTTTTCTTCTGCTTGGCGTTGAGATCCTCCAGCTTAATTCTCTCATGCTTTTCCCGGGCCCACTTTTTCTCTTACTCCTCCCTCTCTTGCAGAAGTTTTTTCTCCTCTCGCTGCCCAAGGATTTGATCATAAAGGTCCTCAATCCCTCTCCTCGGCTTCTGGCTGTGCAGCTCATCAGCTCTTCATGGGAGCCTTGGAGGCTGAGAGGATGCGCTGCCACTCAGAGGCTGACAGGTAGAGCCCGTCTTGCGAGTGATCCTTCGATGGGACCCCAATTGCACGGGCTTGGTTTCTGGTGATAACCCAAGCACACAAGTTTTCAGGTTGGTGCAGAGCTGGGTCAGCAAACACAGTTTCATCTACCTGAGAGGTGGGAGCCTTCGTACGGTACCTTCTTGTGGAGCTGTTTCCCTTGTACATTGTGGAAAAATGAAGCAGTTTGTAGAAAACTGGCAGATCAACAGAGCTGTTTGTTGTGAATCAGTATCAGTGTTTCGGTTCGCTGTTTATTTCTGAACTGTATTTTTTTATTTTATTTTGTTATTGCCATGCACCCTGTTCTAGAAAGCACTGCTGTAGGTGACTGCTGAATGTAAACAAATGCTGTTGTCAGGTTGACTACAGGCTGATGCCTAGATGCCTTACGACCCTGCCCAGGATTTGTCAAGACCCCCACCATCTTGAAGTGGTGTTTGTCAATAATGGCTTTTTTATTGGTTGAAGTTTTGGAAACCTGTGGTTTCCCTGACAACAGCAGTTGTTTACATTCAACGCCACGCTTAAGCAGTCATCGGCATAGATATCAAAACACTAGAAGCCTCACGCCCAATAAAAGAGTAGCCTGGCTGGGCTATCCAGTTGCGTGAATCACTTGCCGTTCCTTCCCACAACAGTCTGGACTTCGGCCAATTGGGAGCGTGTATTAGAAATAAGAAAATAACCGGCCAATCAGTGACTGTGTTTCCACTGTTCCCCAGACAACAGGGAAAGGCAGCCCCTGATTGGTCCATGTGTAGATGGTGATGTCCAACACATGCTGCGGGACTTTTCACTAGAAGTAGTGTGATTGAATACAAGAATTGAATACAATATTAATAGTCGACAAGATAAGCAAAATTGAGGTCTCTAGGTGAAAGTATGCTGAAGTTTTAAGGCTGAGAAGGTGGAAGAGAAAAGGGAAGAATTTGAAGATTTCCCCATGCTTTTTAATAGGAAAGTAAAAAATATCCCAAAGTGTCAAGGGTAGAAAGGAAAAAAAATCCAAGCCATGATGTCCTGAAGGAGTGGAATAGTATAAAGTTTGAACGGTTGAAATAGCACAAAGTATGAAGGAGAAGAAAGCGGACAAAATACGGCGAAAGAATAATAATAGTAAAGAAAAATGGCCGACAGGAATAACGATTGGATGCTTAATCAGCATTTCCACATAAATAATGGTTATATATCAGTGGCGATTGCTCTAAGACTGCAAGGGAAGCTTAGCTTCCCTTAAAATGTCACCCCCCCAAAAAAAGAAAAAGTGGTGAAATACGTACGGCTGTGTGTACATTTCATTAACTAAATACGCACTAGAAAGCCTTCAACTTTTGTTCAGACACTGTGATAAGAAGCTGATAATCACAGGTTACCGGCATAACTTCGTTCTCATTCATCCTCGCAGCGCCTCAGCGCTTCAAACAGTCGGACGCTGGGCTTCTGCTGACTTCAATGTGGAAGCTTAAAGTGGGTTGTTCCAGCAGCGAAACTAGACGCTCATTGGATAAATGCTGGGCTTTGTCCCGCCCAATGGAAGCTAAGCTTCACTGGAGTTCTATGGCGAGAGGGCGGTCCCGACTTTCTCCCGGACTCCAAGCTTCTGCATTCATGATTGGATGAGCTGTCTGAGGCGAAATCCTTTTTGATTGACAGCTAAACAAGCGAATCAGCGATCTTGAAGAATAAAACATCTACCAGAGCATTTTCCAAGTCATTCATTCCGTTGTTCTTAACTGCTCCAGAGACTTTACCGATCCTCAGCGACTTTTGTCTTTGTTAAAAACGACTGCCGTTGTTTTTTTGCGACTCTGTTCTGTTACATACTAATAAACAAATACAATTATGATGTAGGCCAGAAAAATGAGCTTCCCCTCCTTGAAAGACCAGCAGCCGCCACTGTTATATATCTATCACATTTGTTTGGGTATTACTGCAGTCTTAAGCCCCTTAATAAAGCAGGTGGTTTTGGTGACTAGCTTTAAGAGGCAAAGTGTGTCAGTCAACAATCATGACACTTTTGAGGTCACCAGATTCTGTTTTGAGCTGCTGTTGGAAAGAGAAATACGCACAGAGCTTCCTCTGCACTCCCTGAGCATGCTTATCTCCCGGGGACTGGCCTCATTTCATTACAGCTGGGATTAAACATTTGCTGGCTTATTGACCCAATACAAAATGACAACTAACAGTGACATCAAAAAAATTACCCACTAACATAGTCTAGTTTGACATTAAATTGAAAAAGCACACCACTGGGTCACATGGATGAGTCTTTTAAAAAGCATGTGGTAAAAGTGTCCCTTTCTTATTTCTTTCTTGAGTTAAGAACCGGGATATAATTTAGGCTATCAACCATGTTAGAAGTAGCCAGCTCTCACTTTATTTAGCTAATTTTAGACAACTGCATCGCTAGAAGTATACACTGTATTTACACTGTTTCAATGCTTTGACAACAGAAAGATCATTCATCTTCATCGACTCGACATACTGGGATTCTTAAAGCAGAAGCACACTGATCAGTATGATGACCAGGTCAACGCAGCATTTGCCCAGGACATTTTTTTTTTGACATTATATGAAACAATATATCGCTTAAGTTTAATACTGGAAGAAAAAAGGTTTTATAAAAATACTGTAAGGGCGGGTAACTTGCTTTGGGTCATCTGATCGTCTTTTCTGCTTTTCTAACTTTACCAGGGCTCTCAAGTCTCACGCATTCAGCGTGAGACACACGCATTCCCACCTGTTCACACGCTCACACGCCACACATTGTATTTCTCACGCATTTAAATGAACATGGTGATGTCCACCAAGTTGCACCTCTTTAACTATGGAACAGGGGGAAATCAACGGAGTTTCTCCGAGAGTTCAGAAGCTGCGTGCCACGCGCAAGCCAATCAAATAAAGTATATCTACTGAACAGCCAATCAAAAAGCAGCATTGCTGTATCCGAATAGATTTTGATATCTTGCGCTTTGACTACAGAAGAAGACAGACACTTGATGAAATAGAGCAGGTTTTTATAAGGACGAGATAGACCCGATGATTACAGTAAGTCGGTAACCTACACATGCAGAGACCTCAACACCTCATATAAACTCATATGATAAACTAAAGCCCTATGCTATTGCTATTAACAGCTGCATTGATGAATTTAGCCTGTGTACAGCCATTTCCCCTCCACAAAAGCAGCATTTCTCATATATTCTTTTTAAAGTTCTGATACTCGTGACAGTGTAATGCTGATATACCAAAGGATTAAGTATCTCCATGTCTGTGAAACCTATACTAAAGTACAATTCATCTAAATGCTCCTCAGTGCTGATTTTAACAACTCTCCTCCACAACAGGTAACTTTACGACTTTATTCTTAAAGTCATTAATGACTTTATTCTCCTAAATAATAACTTTAATCTCAAAGATTTAAAAATGTTTTTTTCTTTCTTAATGTGGCCCTCATACTCCATTGTATTTATTAGATTATTATCCCCCCCCCCCCCCAAGGAAATCTCACTCTAAGCTTAGTTCAAAACTTGAGAGCCCTGCTTTACCTTTAAAAAAGTGATGACAACTGGCAAAACTGTGAGTCTGTCTCAACACATCAAGCACTCAAGCAGAGTAAAATCATTAGCGCAACTGAATTACATGTTAAGTCAACGCAAAGACGTGGTTAGACAATCCTACTACTCTGGCAGCGCAAATTACCCGAATTGGATAGGAGCTGAAAATGTCTCAACTTGAGCGGATATTTGTGTCGCTGTAACTAACCAGCAAGAAGGTTGCCGGGTGACGTATGAAAATGGACGGTTGTTCACTGGTATCTAAAATGGAGGACAAACTGATCGTGTCGGTGTGTGGGTGTCCCGAATTATATGATACCTTTTCTTTCAATTACCATAATTAAAAAGGAGCTTGCCTGGGGGGAAGAGACTAATGAGGTCAGTTTACCTGGCAAATTGTAAAAAAGTTTGACGTGCAAACGAAGCGAGTAAATACTTTCCATTTCAGCTTTAAAGTAATCCTGTGATTTAGAAATGACCAAAAGGACTGTTGTTGTTGTTGTTGTTGTTGTTTTGGACAGCAGTGGTGTACTCAGTTCAGGGTATGGTGTAGTTTATATACCTGTGGTCTTTCCTGCTTCTGTTATCACATTAGTATCCCACTCTCCTAATCTCTTGAGTCTTTTTTCTCCCTTCTGTACTCCTGTTGATATACATGACCCTGTGTCCCCAACCAATAACATGCTTTTATCACAGACTAAATCACTATTTTCTTTCTTAGTTTGGGCTTGGCTGGGGTCTTTGTCTATTACCTAAAAAGCCAACCAGCTACATGATTAGTACAACCCACCTAAGTAAGATACAAACTTAACCTTTTATGTAACAGTTGGTAAAGTTTGAAATGGCTAATTTTGGTTTATTCACTTTTATTTCACACACTCACTTTGACAAACACTCACTCATACACACACACAGTACTTGTCGCTACAGCCGCTGCATGACTCTGGCTGTGAAGTGACAGACAGCATTTTCTGAGTAAACATAGATTAGTCACAGTTCTCGGTAATACAAAGTGATCACACATGCACAATAGCGTGCTATGTCAGGGCACTCATACACACCAACTATACTTTGCCTAGCTGTTATTCCGATATGTCAGTATGTGTACTCAGTGTTTTAGCATGAACATTTACCGAAGTAAATTATACTTAAGTGGGAA